GGGGCTGTGAGGGCTATGTGGACTGTGAGGGCTGTATGGGCTGTGAGGGATATGGGGTTTTGAGGGCCATGGGGGTTGTGAGAGCTATGGGGGCTGTCAGGGCTATGTGGTCTGAAAGGGCTATGAGGCTCTGGAGACTGTAGGGGATGTGAGGACTCTCAGGGCTATGGAGGCTGTAAGAGCTGGGGGGGCTCTGAGGGGTATGGGGACTTTGAGGGCTATGAGTGCTTTGAGATCTATGGAGTTTCTGGGGTCTCAGATCTCTCAGGGTTATGAGGTTGTTGAGGGCTATAGGGGCTCTGTGGGTTCTGAGTTCTGCTAAGGCTGTGGGGTCTGGTGAGGGCTGAGAGGACTATGGGGACTGTGAGGGCTAGGGGGGCTCTGAGGGCCAAGGGGTCTGTTACAGCTATGGGGTCTGTGAGGTCTATGAGGGCTGTGGGTTCTATGAGGGCTCTAAGGGCTGTGAGGACTCTGGGGGCTGTGTCTCTCCTCAAACTTCTTTTTTCAAGGCTGAACAATCCCAGTTCTCTCAAGCCTTTTGTCATACAGGAAGCTTTGCTGCCCTTGGCTCATCTTTGTGGCCCTTCTCTGGACTGTCTCCAGCTTGCCTGTGTCTTTTTTTTTTGTAATGGGGACCAGAACTGAACACAGTATTCCAGGTGGGGCCTGACAAGCACTGAGCAAATTGGGATTTGGTGTGCTCTGGTCCGTTGGTTGTTTGCAAAAGCTGAATTGTTCAGCTGCTGGAGGCTAACAGGCAACCTGCAGCACCCCAAGGTGCTGTGTTCCCTTGGGGGCTGAATTAGTCTACCTGAAGTTGTGTGGGTGACAGACCCTCTGGAATTCCCCATATCAGTGTTGGATGGTACCCCTGCCACAGCTCTGAGCCTGCAGCCAGTAGGGCATGGGAGTAACCCACTAACAAGTTCTTGTTGCTCAGCACAGAGCAGAGGTTGGCCTGCTGTGTTTCACAGGACCTGGTTTTGCAGCTTAAAACATAGCAGCTCAAGCTTGTGGTTCAAAATTTGCTGGAAGTCAAGATACATGTTCTTAAAAGAATGAAGAGACCTTCTACAAGGTCTTGAATTTGTTTAGTTCCTCAAGTCTGAGCTACCCCTCGCTGCTTTAGCAGTATTCATTCCTGCAGAGTTCCCCTCCCAACCACTTTCAATTTCTTTCCTATTCCATATAACTCCTTCTGTACTCTGTCCATCCATGTCCTTCCCAAACCATTGTCACCACCCCCAGCCCACCTCAGGCTCACATAGAGTTTGTGGGAGCAAAGCCAATTCACTGTGATGTTCATATTTCAGTGAGTGGGTTACATGGGACAGGGCTGCAGCAGAAAAGCAGCAGTGGGCAGCTGTTTCCCATTTATTCACATGTAACCTCCACAGCACTGTCAGCAGAATATTAAACAAGGTTTTAGCATCTGCTTTTTTGGTTGGTTGGGTGTCAGCCAACTGCTCCTGAATTCTGAGATTGACTAAGTGTCTGCATATCTCATTAGCAGGGTGAGCTAATCTTTACCACTCACTGCCACAGCAAACCTCAGCAGCTCTCAGGTCCTTTGCAGAACATAATTGTTGTCTACAAGTGTTTGATTCTGGCAACTTCTGTTGCCAAGGCACAGCTTGGGCTTTCCTCTGTTTCATAGGGATTGTAGGAAATCTCCTGGCTGTACTAGACTGAAAAAAGCTGGTCACCGTTAGGACAAACTGTCCAGCCCCCAGCTGGATAAACATGTCCTGAGGTGGGTGAGCAATCAGCTCATGGGTTCAGCACAGAGGGTGACAGTGACTGGGGTGACATCAGACTGTCACCTGTCACCAGTGGGGTTCCACAGGGCTCCATCTTAGGCCCTGTGCTCTCCAACATCTTCCTAAATTTCTTTGGAATGCAGGACTGGAAGGGACACTGAGCAAGTTTACCGATGATACAGAACTGGGAGGAGCTGTTGACTCCCTGGAAGGCAGGGAGGAGGCCCTGCAGAGAGACCTTGATAGATCCGAGGGCTGGGAATCACCAACTGTGGGAAGTTCAACGAGGGGAAGTGCCGGTTCTGCCCTTGGGATGGGGCAACCC